TTTTTTTTTTTTTCTAGGAATCTAGGAATCAGGTGATCTGTTAAGCTGCTTGTATGAGATGTTTGGAATTTCTTCATTAAGGCACGTAGTGCTATGAACTTTCCTCTTAACACTGCTTTCATTGTCCCATAAGTTTGAATATGTTATGCGTTCATTTTCATTAAATTCTAGGAAGTTTTAATTTTCTTCCCTGACCCAGCTATCATTGAGTAGAGATATATGTAGTAGAGTTTTTATATGTGTGTAGGCTTTTTACTATTTTCTGTTGTTGTTGAGGTCCAGCTTTAGTCTATGGTGGGCTTATAGGATATAAGGGATTATTTCAGTGTTACTGTATCTGTTGCTTTGTGACCAACTATATGGTCTATTTTGGAGAAGGTTCCATGAGGTGCTGAGAAGAAGGTAAATTCTTTTTTGTTTGGGTGAAAAGTTCTGTAGATGTCTATTAGGTCCATTTGATTCATGACATCTGTTATAGTCATTGTTTCTTTGTTTAATTTCTGTTTAATTGACCTGTCCTTTGTTGAGAGTAGGGTGTTGTAGTCTCTGGTGTTTTGTTACCCACAGTTTTGTCTGGGATGGTGAGTTGCACATGCAGGTGGCTTTGTGGGCAGGAGGCCAAGCGCCTCCTGGAGGCCTGGACCTTTCCCAAGGATTGTCTGGGTGACCTGTGGTCGGTTGACCTAGATTGTTTCCTTCTTCATGGGGTTTTCACTTGACTTGAAAACCCAGTCTCTCAGAGGCCCTCTATGGTAGTCTCTTCTCCTGTTTCTTGTTTTCTCCTACTTTCAATGTCCATCCCATTTGTCTTAATAAGTAAGGATTGATCATCTTATCCTGGGTCCTCCTTCTCGTTTAGCTTCTTTAGGTGTACAGATTTTAGTATGTATATTCTATCTTATAGGTCTAGTATCCACTTATAAGTGAGTATATACTCTGTGTGTCTTTCTGCTTATGGGATACCTCACTCAGGATGATCTGTTCTAGATCCCACCAATTGCCTGCAAATTTCATGATTTTCTTTTTTTAATTGCTGAGTAGTATTTATCATGTAAATGTACTTCAATTTCTGTATCCATTCCTCCGTTGAGACTCTACCTAACAGTTTATCAAAGCAGGTGCTGAGACTAATAACCAAACCTTGGGCAGTGTGCAGGGAATCATTTGAAAGAAGGGGAGTTAGTAAGACCTGGAGAGGACAGGAGCTCCATGAGGACCAAATATATCTGGGCACAGGGTCTTTTCTGAGACTGATTCTCCAACCAAGGACCATGTGTGGATATAACCTAGAACCCCTGCTCAGATGTAGCCCATGGCAGCTCAGTATCCAAGCGGGTATCCTAGTAAGGGGAACAGGGACTGTCTCTGACATGAACTCAGTGGCTGGCTCTTTGTCCCCCTCCCCCCCCAAGGGAGGAACAGTTTTGCTAACCCACAGAAGAGGACATTGCAGCCAGTCCTGATGAGACCTGATAAGCTAGGGTCAGATGGAAGAGGAGGAGGACCTCCCCTATCAGTGGACTTAGAAAGGGGCAGGGAGGAGATGAGGGAAGGAAGGTGGGATTGGGATGGAATGAAGGTGGGGACTACAGCTGGGATACAAAGTAAATAAACTGCGATTAATATAAAAAATAAAGATTTAATTAAAAAAAAAGAAAACCCAGTCTCTGATGCTGTGGGCCCCACACTTCAGTATAGGATGGTGATAAGATCAGGCAGGCATGTGTTTCTGGGCTGGTGACCAGTATCCAGGAACTCTTCTGGGGTTTAGCTGGGTGACCTAAAAATAGACCCGATTCCTTCCCATACAGTGGGGTTTTCTCTCACCTGGGAAGTACAATCGCTGTTGTGTTGGGGCCCAGAATTCAGTGTATTGGTAGTTGTGCAGTCACGGCTGTCCTCCTTGTCAGAAACAGTGTCCTCTTTAATTACCATCTTAGATCCCCCCTGCAGATAGCTAAGTTTAACTCAAGAAGTTGCAGAAGAGGCACTGTAGCAGGAGGCACTGTGTAAGATGTGTCATATCATTCATTCTCTTCCTTTCCTTCCCTAGACCCTGTAAGATACATTATTGGGCTGTTTTAACAGTGAAAACGTTTGTACTTGTATATTTGTGTTCACACATTTCACTGAGCTTCCAGTGGAGCATAGTGTGATTAGACAACACACATTAGCCAGGTCTTTGAGAATATGTAACAAACCTAAATTTACTCTTCACAAGGATAAAGGATAAGAGAGCAAATAGGTAAGTCCTGAGTAGTTGGGCTGGCCTTTTTCACCTAGCATAATTTTTCTGATAGTCCTCAATTGGGCAGCGTGAGTCTGTTTCTAAGATATCTGACTTCCTAAGAAACTCTTAAAATTTGTTAAAACCTACATGTGTTGTAGATAATGACTCAAAGGATGGGTGAATTTGAGTAATGAATCAGTACCATTTTTCTAAGTGTTAAATGAGACTTTATTACAAAATTAAAGTTTTGAAGTGGTATTCAGGTTGAACACACGCATACACGTATAGATCGCTATTTAAACAAAATAAGAATGACAGAAGGGCTCACTCAGTGAGTAAAGAAAAGTACTTACTGCTAAGCCTGACAACCTGAGTTGGATTTCCAGGACCCACAAGGTTGAAAGGAGAGAACTGACTCCTGTAGGTAGTCCTCTCACCTTCACATGTCCATCACGGCACGTACTTTCTCCCACCCCCTATTTTAAAACAAGCAGTCATTTTATTTAGTGATTGAGAACGGTTGAACTGCCTTGCTTTTACTAATATGTCTTTTTAAACTTAAAGCTCTGATTTTATGAAAAGTTTATTCTCTCCTGTGACTAGAGGAATCATTGATTTTGTTTTAGATTTATTTAATTTATTTTATTCATATGAATGTTTTGCCTATATTCCTGTATGTGTGCCACCTGTATGCCTCGTGTCCGAGAAGGTCAGAAGAGAGCATCACATCCCTTGGAACTGAAACTAGGTGACTATGAGCCTCCATGTGAGTGCTGAGACCTGAACCTGGGTCCACTGCAAGAGCATGTACCCTTAACCACTGATCCACCTTTACAGCCCTCAGTTGAAATATTGTTTTAAACACTAATTTAGAACTGATTGTCTTACTGAAATCATTTTCAAACTCTCTGTTGCTCAGAAATGGCATTCAGATTTGCCAGTGTGGCTCCAACTACTCTTTTTCAAAATATTGTTTTATTGTAGCAAAATATTTAAAACAATATGTTTTCACTTAACAGTTTTTTTTTTTCTTTGTCCTTTCCTCAGAATCTATTGACTGGGTGGAACCAAAAAAAAAAATGTAGCCTTTGCCACAAAGACATTGCTAACTGTATTCATAAATTGTTATTTTAATAGTTCTAAACATGAAGATAATGGACTCTTTACATTTCATTGGAGCATCCTATTGATTTAACAAACTTGTGATAACTGGATGGAAGTATTAAGGAAAATCACAAATAATAGTTATTTTGGTTTTCTATAGTTTGGACTCAGATCATGTTCCACACTGAAAAACATTTTTGGCTTTGCATTGTCAGCAGAGTCTTGTGACTGTTGATTTCAGGCATAGAAACTACCACACACGTATCTGCCTACCCAAGGGAATCGCTAATTTGGGTGAAATAGAGGAGAGTGGTATTATTGCCTGCAATTGGTGTTGGCATTTGGTTCAAAGAGGTATATGTTTGGTGTGCTATTAAGTGAAAGTTCGGCACTTCTAAACAATCCTTTTCAAGGATGCTAAGAATGTTCTTCTCCAGGTTGTATTTTGAATATTTATGTATATGTATACAGATATACATATGTATATAATATCAATTAATGAAATAAAGAGGCCACAACTTTGAAAGAGTGCAATGAAGAGGTATTTGGAAGGCTTTGGAGGGAGGCAAGGGAAGGGGGAAATGATTTATTAAAATCTCAAAAAATAAATAATTAAAAGGAGAGCATTCCCAAGTGGGTAGTCTTGCTAATCATGAGTAAGTAATCTTATGAATATTGCGGGTGGTGGTAGAAAAAAGGCACAGAAATTCTGACTTGTCTACAGTTGTATAGATAATGAACCACAGAAAGAAGGATTCTTGTCTAGGTCTCAATGATTAAGACAGGACTCATTTCATTGCCTTACCTATATTGCCCTTAAATCCTATTCTCCAACTGTGTCAAGTTGGAGGTAGTGAACTACTATTATTTGAACTGGAGATAGGAATTTTCTTTGTGTTTAACTTGTTCCCTCACTTAGATAGTATTGCCTATGATGATGATAATGATAAAGAAATGAGATTGTCTATTTATATATAAACATGGTACAAAGCATAAAACTGTTCACGTGCCATTTTATTACTCCTGTTATTATATAGAAAACTATTTTTTATTAAATTTTTATTTTTTTAATATTAATTACAGTTTATTTATTTTGTATCCCAGCTGTAGCACCCTCCCTTTTTCCCTCCTAATCCCACCCTCCCTCCCTCATCTCCTCCCTGCCCCTCTCTAAGTCCACTGATAGGGGAGATCCTCCTCCCCTTCCATCTGACCCTAGCTTATCAGGTCTCATCAGGACTGGCTGCAATGTCCTCCTCTGTGGCCTAGCTAGAAAGCTACTTTTAAACACCTCTATTTTGTAATATTTCATGTATTGATTATATTTCTTTAGCAAGGAAAGTTAGTTAGGTATAGCAAAATGTTCATATCATTGTAAGAGACATTAGAATAATAGTTTTAACAGAAGAATACAGTATGGGCAGTTATTTGAAACTCATATTTCTATTTTTAAAAAAATGTTTTTTTTTTCTTTCTATACTGATATTCCAACCAAGGACTATGCATGGAGATAACCTAGAACCCTTGCACTGATGTAGCCCATGGCAGCTCTGTCTCCAAGTGGGTTGCCTGGTAGTGGGAACAGGGACTGTCTCTGACATGAACTCAGTGCCTGATTCTTTGATCACCTCCCCCTCATAGGGGAGCAGCCTTGCCGGGCCACAGAGGAAGACAGTGCAACCACTCCTGATGAGACCTGATAGATTAGGTTCAGATGGAAGGGAAGGATGACCTCCTCTATCTGTGGACTTGGGTGGGGCATGGGAGGAGATAAGGGAGCAAGGGTGACATTAGGAGAGGATGAGGGAAGGGGCTACAGCTGAGATACAAAGTGAATAACCTGTAATTTATAAAATGAAAAAAACCTAAGTTAATGTTTAAACTGTATGATGGCTTGATTCCAATAATTACTATTTAATGCCTATATTCTATATAGTTAGTCACAACTTTTTTTTGAATCAGACATTTATACCTACAAAGCCTTCAACACTGGAAAAAATAGTTCTTCATGAAGGTGGTTGGTGCTTGTGTTTAATGTGGTTATTAGCTGAAGACTGAGTATATCAATTGCTTCCATGCGTGTAGTACTTTGAAACAGCTTTTAAAATTGTGTGTGTTTGTGTGTGTGTGTGTGTGTGTGTGTGTGTACTTGCTGGGTATATGCAGGGAGGTCAGAGGACAGCTTTGTGGAATTGATTGTTTTGTTCCACAGTATGGGCTCTGGAGGGCAAACTCAGGTTGTCATGCCTGGAAGCAGGCACCTTTTCCTGCTGAGCCATTCTCTTAGCACCATGTTACATTTTTTTACATGAGGAAGTTAACCTTTCTCTTTATCTCTCTCTCTGTCTACTTGCATCCCTTCCCCTCCCTCTGAATTCCTTGATTCTTAGTGAGTACTTTAAATGTTCATCAAAGAAAGGTGCTTATCTACTTTACTAGGTAAAATTGCAGAACAACCAGGTAAAATTTTCATGGTGGTGCTGGTGCTGGTGCTGGTTCTATAGGCTTGTACTAAAGTTTCAAAATATACTTTATCTGTTTAACTGATAATATAGGACCTACTGACCTCTATTGAAATGGTAGATTTGATGATAAAAATTGTGGAAGAGTCATGAAGATAGAACAGGACATTAATGTAGCAGAAAACCTAGTCTTATTATAACATAATTAAGTTTGGTAATTTAAAATTTTTTATTCATATTGTTAGTAGAAATTTATATTTCATTTTCTGATATTCAGCTTTATGGTATACTGCATTTGATTCCAAAACAATATTTTCTTTCCAATCTGCTATACTGATCAACAAGCAAGAGAGTAAACTAAATAATTTTTGACTTAAAAATGTGTTCCATTTTCATTTAGAAGCTTTGGGACTTTGGATCTGAGTTTAAATTTCAACTCTGGAGCTTTTTCATCTTTGAGCATTCATTCTTTGTTGTCTGGAAGGTGCAGATTCTTATTTCTCGGAGCCTTTGGGAGGATCACATAAGCTTGTGTGTTTACCTGGGTCCTGAGGAAGAAAGCCCCATTTATTTAAAAAAGTTGTCCATCTATGATAATTTACAGATGAAAAGAATTTGAGGACTTATTAAAAAGTATCTCTTCTCCCTAAACAACTCAGCATTAGTTTGGTCTGTCTAGGAAATATCTATAATTAATACAAACTTTAGAATTTTCAAGATTGTAAATTTTCTTTAATGGAAATATTTTTAGTTAAATTACATTATGCAGGAATATTATGGATTAAAAATTTTCTATAAATACATACATATATCTACATTCTAAATGATATAGGTGTGTGTTTTTGTAGGTTTGCCTGAATCCATCATTGCGGCTGCATGTTCAAGGAGTAACCAGAGGGTTCTGCATGTTGATTCGTAAGTTTTAACCCTGGTTGCATTTAACACACACATAAGTCTATATGTTTATGTATGTGTTTTATAGATGTGTTATATGAAATTTCGTAACAGAGAAGAAACACGAATTATATTTTATTTTCACCAATAATGTCTAAAACATTAAATACAAGGCTTTTTTGATATTCTTTGACATAAGGATACTTGTCCTTTAAGGATAAACCAAATGCATCTCAATTTCTTTTCCCCTCGGGAGTGAGCTTGTTCTTAAAAAAAAAAAAAAAAAGTAAATATTTAACAGGCTTGGAAAGCTCAAGTGTGCCTTTCTAATATAAATATATATGTGTCTATGAGTATATACCACATTTATATAGTGTTATATTTTGGGTGTCATGTTTTATTATAAGATTTTTTCCCATAGATTTGAATTTATGGTTTTATTAACGGATGTAAAAATTTGAACTGAAAAGTCTTAGGTAGGAAGAATGTCTAGAATAGATTTCTCTTAAAATCATTAATAAAATGGAAGTGAAAGGAAAAACTACTTGATGCATAACCTAAGCTGTAATTCCCATGTCCCTTGAAAGCAGATCTTAAGTGTGCCACGTGCATTTACTCAATTTGAACAGTGGCTCATTAACTCAGACGGCAAAGAGTAAATAGATTTTCTTCTTTTTAGAATGCTAGAAAATGGCATTTGATCTGTAATAGTGTCTTGTGTTTTCCCATTAGTTCATATTGTAAAAAGTGTCATTTATTAATTTATACTTAACATTTCATGAATTTATTTTTAAGTTATCACATGAAGTAATATATATATATATATATATATTTTTTTTTTTTTTGCTTTTTTTTTTTTTTTGCTTTTTCATATACGTATGTCAGTATACCTGGTCTTATTCATACTCACTTTCCTTCCTCCACCTATTAATTTTCTTCTTACTGGTCCCCTTCCCTCTAGTGACACCTTTCTATATCTGCAGCTATTTTCTTTATGTTCAGTGACACCTCCTATCATTTCATTTCTTTTCTACTTATGGTGTCCTTTCTTGTTTTGTGATATTCTGTCTCTATCTCTCTCTCCATAGACCATCTTTATGCTAGGATTATGTGCTGGCTAATTTTTGTCAACTTGAAACATATTTTTTGAAGCAATTTTGGTGTTATTTTGGCTTTCTATTTCATTATACTGTAATAGAATAATATATTATTAACATTAACAATAATATGTTAATAACATAATACTGTTGAATATTAATATTACCTCTTTGTATTAGTTAGATTCTCTAAAGCGCAGGATGGATACAATGAGTATATGTATATTGAAGGGGGATTGTATATTGACAGGGAACATCAACTGAGAAAATGCCTAGATCAGATTGCCTTGTGTAGGCAAGTCTGTGAGGCATTTTCTTAAAAAAAAATAATAATAATTGAAGTGGTCGCTCATTGTGGTTAGGAATACCTGGGCAGGAGGTCTGGGTTGAATAATAAGGAGGCTAAGCAAACAATGAGGAGCAAGCCAGTAATCAGCATTCCTACATGGTTTCTGCTTCAGTTTTGTAATGATGGACAGTACATTTTAAGATGAAATAGGGCCTTTCCTTCCCAAGATGGCTTGATCTTCACAATAGAAAGCAATTTAAAACAAATTGCATTGTCTATTTTGGGTTGTTTTTGCTTTAATGTGAAATTTTGTATTTTTTAAAATATATTTTCAGAAAGTAATTGAGACTTTCATGTCAAATGTGCTAGAATTTATGTGTAAGATTCAGTTACATAACTATTTTTACAATATGAATTTTGCTATATCATGTACATGGGAGGTCTTTTAGCCTTTTCTTCTTCAAATTTGTTTTTCTAAAAATGTATATTATATTCAGTTCTTTGAATAGCACAGGCTGACCAAGGTTGATCTTGAAATTCTGATTCTTCTCCCCCCCAAGACCTGAGGGTGGGGATGAGCCATCTGACACCCAGTTTTAAACTTTAGATTTTACTGTTTATAATTGTCATCTTTCATCTCTTTTTTTTTTCTCTTTAAATGAGTGAAAAGAGAAACGAGAATCTATATTTGTATTTATTGTTGAGTAAACAAACTGAAAAGTTCCCTAAAACACTACCTATGGAAGACTATGAGCAATAAAAGACAAAAATAGCAAGTGTTCGCACCTATATTGTTCATCCATTAGATCCGTCATAGATTGCGCCTCAATTATACCAGAGATCACAGTCTATGAAATGATTGTACAATGATTTTTCTAATCAGACTCTTGCAGGTGATATTTAGGCTGTCTCTAGTCTTTTGCTAGTGTGTTGGTATAATGTTCTTTTAAAATGTATACGCCTTACCCTTGTTAATTCAAATGCTGATTTCCCCACCCCCAACTCTCTGGTTTCAATCCGATATTGCATTGTGATACTCATTATAAGCATCCTGTCTCAATTCTTGTGTAAACAGGACAAAATAAAGCAACTAGATACAATGTTGTGCAATGGGAGGAGCCAGAGGACAGGAAAGAAGGGAGGAGCTAGAGAGCCGGAAAGGAGTGGGAGGAGAGGGGGCGAGAGGAGATCTAGGAGAGCAGAGCTGGAGGAGAGATCTTGGAGGACATGGAGCATGAATCAGACCTAAGATTTCACAAAAAGCAAGTATAATGTGGGAAATCTAAATGTTAGGAACCTGAGGGCTTGGAGGTTTAGGAGGGAGTAAATATTGCCCAGCATTGTGTTCTAGGTTAACTAAAAACCCAGTCTCTGTGTGGTGATTTGGTTATACAGTTGCTGAGGAGTAACAGCAGCATTACTAGAAGATAAACCAATAGTAAATATTTATAACTTCCTACAACACTAGTGCAATCAGTTCTGTGGTCAATCATGTGGTAGTAATTGTGGTTGTCAGACTGAGTGTCTGGAAGATGCCTAATAGGTTAATAAGACATACTTAGGATGTATGTGTAAGAGTGTTTCCAAGGTGCACTGGCAGGTGGAAAGTGAACTGGGTGAGGACAACCTGTCATTACTGTGGCTGGCACCCTCCAATAGGCTGGCTGTGCTATTGGTGTTCTGGTCAGAAATTTGTCTTTTATGCCAATGCATTCAAGATTATTCCTCACTTTCTCCTCTATTAGATTTAGTGTAGCCAGTTTTATTTTGAAGGCTTTGGTCCATATGGATGTGAGTTTTATGCAGGGTGATTATTATGGATCTATTTGCAATCTTCTACATGCAGACATCAAGTTAGACCAGCACTATTTGTTGAAGATGCTTTCTTGTTTGCATTGTATGGTTTTGGCTTTTTCATTATTTATTACAATTATTTCACTTTGTATCCCTGTGGTAGCCCCCTCCCTTATCCCCTCCTAGTCCCACCCACCCTACGTCTTCTCCCACTATACCCTTTCCCTAGTATCCTGATACCAGATGACCTCCTCCCCTTCTAACTGACCCTAGTCTATCAGGTCTCCTCAGGGCTAGATGCATCATCTTCCTCTATAGCCTGGCAAGGCTGCAACCTCCAGGAGGAGGTGATCAAAGAGCCAGCCACTGAGTTCATGTCAGAGACAGCCCTTGTACCCCTTACTAGGGAAACCACTTGGAAATGGAGCAGCCTATGGGTTTCTCTGAGCAGGAGGTCTATTACTCTCCATGCATGGTCTTTGATTGGAATATCAGTCTCTGCAGGACCTCCTGGCCCAGGGTTTTTGGCTCTGTTGGTCTCCTTCTGGAATTCCAGTCCTCACCAGGTCTTTCTATCTCCCTTTTCTTCCTTAAGGTTTCCTGCATTCTGCCCAAAGTTTGACTGTGAATCTCAGTATTTCCTTTGCTACCCTGTTGCTTACAGTTTTTCAGAGGTCCCCTGAAGGAGGTTCCTGTCCTGTTCCTCGTTGTCCTACTTCTTTTGTCTGTCATGTTTGCTCTTCTGAGTAAGGTTTCAACCTCTTCCTTAGGGGCCTCCTTGTTGTTTAGATTCTTTAGCAGTATAGATTTTAGTATGCTTATCCTATGTTATATGGCTAATATCCACTCTAAGTGAGTATATACCACATGTGTCTTTCTGCTTCTGGGTTACCTCATTCAGAATAATCTTTTCTAGTTTCCACCATTTGCCTGAAAATTTCATGATTTCCTTGTTTTTAACAGCTGTATTTTAACAGTAGTATTCCATTGTGTAAATGTACCACAGTGTCTGTATCCGTTCTTCAGTTGAGGGACTTCTAGGTTGTTTCCAGTTTCTGGCTATTATAAATAAAGATGCTATGGACATAGTTGAGCAAATGTCCTTGTATGATTGAGCATTTTTCACATATATGTCCAGGATTGGTATAGCTGAATTATTAGGTAGCACTATTCGTAATATTCTGAGAAAGTGCCAGATTGATTTCCAAAGTTGTACAGTGTTACATTCCCAACAGCAATGGAGGAGGGTTCTCCTTTCTCCAACCTCTCCCCCGTGCTTCATCCCTTGAGTTTTTTATCTTAGCCATTCTGATGAGTATAAGGTGAAATCTCAGGATAGTTTTGATTAGCATTTCCCTGATGACTCAGGAAGGTGAGCATTTCTTTAAGTGTTTCTCTGCCATTCAGTAGTCCTCAGTTGAGAATTCTCTGTTTAGCTCTGTACCCCATTTTTCAATTGGATTGCTTCGTTTGTTGGTGTTTAATTTCTTAGATTCTTTATGTATTCTAGACATTAGCCCTCTGTGAGATATAGGGTTGGTGAAGATATTTTCCTAGTCTCTAGGCTGTTGTTTTGTTCTGATGACAGTGTCTTTTGCTTTATAGAAGCTTTTCAGTTTCATGAGGTCCCATTTTTTGATTGTTGCTCTTAGAGCCTGTGCTGTTGGTGTTATGTTCAGGAAGTTGTCCCCTGCGCCAATGAGGTTAAGATTCTTCCCCAATTTTTCTTCTAACCGATTTAGTGTGTCTGTTTATTTGTTGAGGTTTTGATACACTTGGACTTTAGTTTTCTGAAGGGTGCTAAATATGGGTCGATTTATATTTTCTACATGTAGACATCG